TATTACGCTGGGCTCGGGCTCGCCCGCCTCGCCGCTCCCCTGCCCGCGGCGCCTCGCTCCGCGCCTCGGGGCCCACCCCTCGCAGACCTGCCGCCGCTTCTCCCCGACAGCCTTCCTCGCGCGGGCGCGCTCCGAGGCCAAGCCCTGGAGGAAACTCTTGACTCTGCGCTAGTCCCTCTCTGCCCCTTCCCCTCAGCCCATTAACCCCCGACCCTCACCCCCAGCCCCTCTTCTTAGGAAAGAGGTGAAAGGAGATGAGAAAGAGATGATTAAAAACAAAACACGCGCGCGCCTTAGGAGGGGAATACTCGCCAGCAGAAGGGATTGCAAAAGTGGGTACCCCTCTCACAAATCCTCTTTCCTTTTGTTTTCTTACTTTGAATTCAATAACCGCTTCCCCTAACCACACACACACACACACAGAGAGAGAGAGAGAGAGAGAGAGAGAGAGAGCGCTGTATTTTCCAAGAAAAGATGGGGTGGGAGGCGTAGAGGAGAAATAACCACCCAAATTTTTTAAAATGATTTTCCTCATTTGAAGTTTGCTATTTTGACATTGATGACATTAATGTTATTGATGATGTTTCAAAGAGAAAAAGGCAAAAGAAATAAAGAACTTAAAAACGAAATGATCATCATTCCCCTATTCTTCCATGCCAGAAATAGACCCCTTTCTTCACCTGAGCTTGAAACAGACTTATTGTTCTCAGGTGTTTCCTTCATCATACGCATTTACCCGTCTGAAATCGCAGGAAATGGTTTTTCCATCAGTGAGCTTGTACATGGAGCCCCCTCCCGCAAAGGGCTTGATCTTTTCTGATTTGAACCTGAAAGTTTCCCTACCTTCATTTCCCCTCAGTCTCTTTAAAAGCTCCCAACCCCCTTCCCCATGCACACACCTCAAATAGTTTTTTTTTTTAAGCCAGAATTTTTGCTCTCTAGGGTGTTTTTTGGTAAACAGTAACGCTACATAAACACCTTTTTCACTTGCAAGTTACAGAGAATTTAAATTTTACCCCTGTGTGCATGTATGTTTCTTAAGGCACATGGATAAATCCCACTGAGGTGCAATCAGATACTGCTAGCAAATTGGTGATACAGTTGCTGTGTAAAGGAGGAACTGTAAACAAAATAACTTTTAAATCTTAGAAAGCCTCCAACTTTGAGCAGATTTCTTTCCAAAGAAATTTAAAATGGAATAGAGTATTTGGAGAAGTAGATCATTTTCTTTCTGTTAACGTTTAGTAGCCCAGGTTTTTAAAACACCATGCACGGACTCCAGATTCCTAAGGTGGTGATTTGCTTTTTTCTCTTAATAAAGACCATATCTAGGTTTTATTTTGTACTCCAAGCCTCTGGACTTTCATTGTAACCTTAGCCAGCTGCTGAAGGCAACCAGCTTGCCTGATCTGGGCCTAGGTCTGCTTTTCTGAGGACTATGCTTTTATCTTCCCAGGTGTTTTGTTTGGTTTTTAATTCTATTTGCATCAGTCCTAGGATTTTCCAAATGTTCCCTGATAACACAAGTTTTAGGCCCAGAAAGATGCATGTTTGCAGCCTCTGTAGTTTCAAGTGCTTGTGTGATAAACCTTTCTGTTGGTGCTTAAGGCCTAAGACAAGGTTTTGAAGCAGACCCTGGCGATCCAGAACTTCAAAGGCCTGTCAACTCAAAAGCAGCTGACGCCTCACCTGTCCAGGAAGCTGGACATCGCAAGTATTTCCTGTTTTTAGTTCATTTGATTTGTTACTCACTTTCGCTCTAGAATTCCTATTTTTGAAATATTACATAGATTGTTTCTACTTCTGACCTGTGGTGTAGCAGTGTACCAAGATGCTGAGTAGCAATGAATATATATATGTATATACATATATATGTGTGTGTATATATATATATACACACACACACATATATTTCATATTCAGTAGGGGGTATTTAAAAGTATGTCTATTCCTAGTTTTAGTTAATTATCTTTTAATGAAAGTGTCACTCATATTCACATCTGTAATATTGGAAAGAGATAATTAGATTTTCAAATGAGAATCAGCCACCTTAAATTTTGCACCAGAAAATACCAAGTATATTTCATTCTAATGAGATCTGTAGTGGGGTTTTAAAATTCATCATAATGTGCTTCAAGAAAGATAACTCAACGGACTCGAAATATGAAAGGTTTTTTTCCTAAGTCTTCTTAAAGCTATTACATTGAACTTACGCAATTCTGATCAAATATTCAAGAATATTACAAAAAGGCTAGAACTGTACCCCCACTATAACCCTTGCAACCATCACTTCTTCTCATTTGGAAGTTTACTTTGACTAAACTAACCGCTTCCGTCTTCCATGCTCTGGGTTTTCTCTCCTGCGTATGCAAGCGAAGGATACGTGTTTAAAGAGAGTGCCTGCGGATCCACAGTGCAATTCCTCCTTTGAAATAGGCTGGGCTGAGCGGTGTTTGCACACAGCCAGGCACCCTTTATTTACATATATCTGCATATTTGCTCAGGCCCCCGCATTTCGCCATTAAAGTGCGTTCATGTGCGTAGCAGGATGAACTAGGCAAAGAAAAGCTCT